TAAAATTACAACTTTCTAATGGCTATCTATTCTTTTTAGCCCAAATTAATCCATTTTCGTTGTTGCTCTTTTTAGAATAAAAATTGGGCATAAAAGAATTTGGCATATAATTTCAGCAGTAAAGAAAAAAATAAAAAACTCATTGTTTGCTTTAATGTTTCTAGTCAGTTTGCTTTAATGTTTCTAGTCAATTTGCAACTCGTGACACGAGAACAGAGGTTAAATAACATTCGCTACAAAATCCTGAATTTTTTTATTAGTCAGACCAAAAACAGTTTCAATTCACTCTAAATCAGCAAAATTTTTAATTACAATACTAATTTATTTTATCGCTACGTAAACATTGAAGAAAGATGAAGATTTACTCTTAATATACACAAATGACTTTGTCAGTTTTAAAAAATAATAATAATATAAGAAATTTGTTATTGGTTTTAATCACTTGCATAAACAATAATAAATCTTAAAATTCTACAAAAATTTGACCAAAAAAATTTAACCAAAAGTCAAAACATCGAGAAATAAAATAAAGAAAATAACATTCAAATTTAAAAAATAAAAGGTATTAAAAATATGTAAGAAAATAAAAATTTCACGCTCTGTCTTGCATTTTTTCTCGAAAGTATGATTTAATACTGTATTGTTTACTACTTGAGAAAAAACAAGAAATTTCAAATTGCAAATTTGCTAGAAAATAAAAAATTAATTATACGACTGATGAATTTATTGTAAAGACATGTTGCAGGTTATCATTATAATCAAATGAAAGCAAAGTAAGAAAACAGTAATAAGAAGTAAAATTTTATCATAATATAATAGGGTATTGAAATTTGATAGGATATTATCAGAAGCATATCACTGAACCGAGGTAATGGTGGAGGACATCTGTTTTACTACAAATGTTTTTTGCATACTTTTGTCTACTTTTGAAATTGGAAATATGTTGGTGAAATTAATGGTATTTTTGAGCTATTTTTTAGTAGGGAAGTCAAAGTGATAATCTAATGAGCAAAGCAAGTAATTCAAGGATGAAAAATTTGCTGCTTTAACTTTGTTTTAAAAAATTTATCCAAATAATTTCTTCTCAAGTTACAAAAATAAAGTCAGAAATAAAAATACATTTGTATAACTCATTTATTGTGCACAGTTTTAATGAAAAAATTTACTTCATCAATTTTATCGATTAGAAATTTTTTCAGTTTAAAATTCAGCTTTTTGCCACAATTTTATAATTTTGATAGGCTTTTAAGAAGTTCAGGAAGTGAAAAGTTTAAAAAACACCTTTATGATGCTTTTCGTTTTTGGCTTTAGCTGAGAATAAGTTTACTGTATGAAACAGCATTCTGATGATAACAAAAACTGTTCAAAAAATAAATTGGCTAGGAATTAAAATGCTAAAACTGAGAAAAAATGAAGATTAATATATTTGGAAAAAAAATTACAAATCAAGTAAGATTGCTACCAATCAAAGGAAGCCAAAAATAGATAAAGGAAAAAAGGAAATAAATTCAGCAAAAGGATAATTGAAATTTCTGGTCAGAAAACAAGTGTAATACACCATGTCTATGAATTAAAAATTACGGAACTAATGTTTTAAAAATAAAACTACTGTAGCACAAAATATTTGCACTGCTTGGTTATATAAAATGAAACATAAAGTTTTTTCAAAGTTTAGGTATTCTCTAAATTGTGCTTTAAGAAACATACCTAAAACTTTTGAATAACATTATCTGAATTAATAGCAAATTAATTTTTCGTAATCCACCAATACTTTTCGGTATAAAATTATGTATACACACCAAAAATGCAAGAGTGCGTAACTGTTGATTGAGAGATAATTGACGTTGATGCTCACGTCATAAAAAATTTGGAAGAAAATAATAGCTGTCAATATGTTGTGAACAACATGCAAAAGCAATACATTATTCCTCTTTCGTTATTTTAAAATCATATCTATAAATAAGAAGCTGATTTATTCCCAATATGGAAAATGTGATAAAGGAATATCAAGCATGTAATAAAAACTCTTTTTTTCTTCCTTGTTAACCTTCATTCTATTGAATATTTTTTGGATGAATTGTTCAGAAATATTGCAGATGTGATAAGTATGCAATTTCAAATTAGAAGTAGTGAATAATGAAAAGAATTAATGAATGTCTTGACAAAATCAATCACGAAAAAATAATTCTTTCAAATTGTACCCAAAAAAACCTAACACATACGAACACTAAAAATTAGAGCGAAGTCAATATTGTGCAAAATAAAACACAAATATTTTATTTCAAAAAATACTGTAATTTGTTTGCTATGAATCAAGGTTGAAACGTTTGCTTTCATTGTAAAATATGTGTCAAAAATTTTCAAGCATATTATATTTTTTTGCTTCCATTTTTCGAAATTTTAATGCCACAAACTGGCAAATTATCTGCAGAGTTTGAAAACAAAAAGTGAAAAAATTTGTTATTGAGAAAATTACAAGTAATCAGCTGTTTAATGACAGTTAAAAGTTTGAATAAACGTAAAAATCGAATTAAAAAATTTTAATATTATAACCATTTTGAAATTTAAAGCCCGTGTTTTGCTTTCGCGATCATTTTGATAATTATAATTTGGTGAAAATTTTTATAATACTTTTTTAAGATTTTAAAAATGGAACAAACTATAATATTATAAACCAAGAAATTAATACCATCTTAGTGTTTAAAAAAAAAGTTTTATTAATAAGTTATAGGTTTAATTTATTTCTTCTGAAGATTTAATTAATCACTTCTTGGCAAAATCTTCAAAAAAGACTTCAGAGTACTTCGAATGCACTTGAAAACGAATTTTTTTATACACCTCAAAAAAAATTGTAATATTGAAAAATTTATTTTGGATGAACTAGAAACATTTTAAGTTATTTAATAGCTTTTTTCATTTACATCGAGATCAGTGCCTTTTTGTAATCATTTTTAAGTAGAAAATCTTCTGCAAGCTTTTCGAAAATCGTCTGCTGACCAATCACATTTGCATTGCACATCTTCCACTTTGGTAATAAATAACATGTTACTGTATTTGATCTGTCGTTTCAACTATAACGTTTAGCCATTCAAGAAAAAAGTTACACACAAATAAATATAAGTTAACAAACGAAGCAAATACCAAAGAGCTGATCTTTGTCCGAACTTAAAATGCTAAAAAGCTAGCTTTTATCTTAGTATCTGTGCCTCGTAACACAAGTCAAATTTTATTTTTGCCGATACTAATAGTAAAATTTTTATTAGTACTTGATAATGGCAATATTTGTAAGTTATTTAGACGAAGTATAAAATGAAGCAACGATAAGCTTAAGTTAAATAGAAACGAGAATAATGAAGACTGAACACTATTTCTAATCCTTGTTCAATAACTACTCATCTTAAAAAGTATAAATAACAAATATTATTAAATGCATAAAATTAACAATTATATCGCAAAATTGAAAACTGCTATAACTAGCCTTTTCAAAACGTGCATTTCTCATCTGCTTGATATGTTTTATTTCTTTTTCCAGAAAACCTAGTTTTGTAGACATTTTTAAGTTATCTTCCTGCAAGTTCGTTGATGAAAACTCAGTACATGCAGTACTTAGTTGCGACTCGCTATTACTGTAGTGATTCATTGTTAATCTGAAACAAAAACTGCAAAATTTATTTAATTTTCAATTTCAAACAATACGCTTAAAATATCAATCTGG